CCCAGCAGCCAGACCATCCCCGGTGAAGTGACCTCCATTGTGATTAGGCCAGCACGCTCGGAGGTGATACAGCAGGCTAAGGTTGTACTGGCCAATACCCGAAAGACCGGATCGCTAGTCTGGGGCCTGACTGTAGACGAGGCGGAACAGGCCTGTCAAGCGATTGCCAAAGCTGAGAATGAAAAAGCTGCCGAAAACTCCAAAAAACGTAGGACTTACCTGCATCCATTCGTGGACGCATTTCTCGACAGGCTACTCAATATGAAAGACAGTGAACCTGAAATTGAAGTGGAAGAAGTTGAGGGCCACTTATTATCCATACGCAGCAAAGAGGAAGTGAGTATGCTTTCGAGTTTTCCTTTCTACACACTAATCAGCAGAAGCGGTCTTAGTAGTCATTAGGTGTAGGTGCCTCGACTTTAGACAGGTCTGTTTTTTGTAAATAGGCTCTTTCTAAGAGGGTTGGTTATGTCTAGGTCGCGCGGCAAAAAGAGGCATGTTCAGCAAATCTTTATAATGTCAAATTTTCGTTTCCGCACAGCAATACTTTTGCTATTTTACTTGGTAAAGATGACTTTTATGGCCTCCTTAGGAAGAGAAACGTCCCGCCTACATAACATAGGTGGCTTTGTGATTCACTTCGGGAAGTGTAAAGACTACCGTGTCTTAACTCCAATACTGACCCTGAAATAAAACTAATCCGAACTCTAGTCCTGCCCTAAACATACGCCCTATGATAAACATGAATCAAAACTCTAACCCTTAACATACTCCTGACTCTAATTCTAACTTTGACCTTAGCCCCAACCTTTAACTTAAGCCTAAACTGAACACTCCCCCCATCTCAATCCGAAACCCACGTTTCCCGGAATTTTGGCACAACGCGAAAGGTGCCTGTGCCCATTTCCTGTTTAGGTGACCACACAAATCATTCTCACCTTTTACTTTGTTTTTGTATGAATGAAATACCCACGCTTACAAACTAGTGGCATTCAACAAAACTAAATTGTGCAACAACAACACCTTCAAGTATTTACTGAATTGTAATTGGCATCATATTATGAAGGACCGTGATTAATTTATATGGAAACCCGAAAATAGGTGCTTGTTTTCTATCCATACAAAATAAGCCTAAGTTGTAGTAACACAAATTAATTGTGAACTACAAAAAATGCGCATGGGGCGACCGAAAATGCTCAAACTTTGAAAAAACATCATGGTGTAAATGCAAGCCTATAATTCGCGTTGGTAATCGAATCATTTTGGAAGGTCCTTTTTTAAATTACTAACTTGGCTTCTCTTGGTTGTATATTGTGGCTCCTATCAGTAAACAAAATGAACACCCGTTGTAAAAAAATGCGTCTTTACACGACGCCTAATTATTCGGCCAGAAGTTCTTTTATCCAGACTTTTACACTACTTTGTAAGTATACATCTGTAGGACATCGATTAACGCATGAGGTAGAATAGGAAACGGAATCGAGCCAGAGTAGAGCAGAATACACGGCTTATACTAATATTTCGATTGCTAACCGTATTTTAAATGCTTTCTTTGAAAAAAGTAATTAAGTATTTTACTTGTTATAAAAGCCTCACCCTAACGACTAGAAGAAATCCCACGTTATGCCCTGTTACTCAATGATTAATAAACTAAGTATAAAACAGTTGTTTTTTCATAATAAATTTCAAGCCTACCAAATGCGCTAATAGAACATAATTTTCTGGTGCTTTCCTTCCCCATAACCCCTCGCTCAACGTTAATGGTTCTCCTGAAACCAGTTTCTGATAGTAAGATAAGACGGTGTAGGATGCTGGTCAAACTTGTGGATGTTTCGGAAGGAGAGGGCAGGTTAAGTGGAACCAGACAAAAATAAAAAAATGAGCTTCTCCTAATATGGAAGGCTCTTGCCAGAAGACCCGATTTGAGTTAGAAAGTGGATGAGAGAGGAGCGAAGGGGAAATAGGTGAAGAATCATTTTATGTCAGTCTTCCTCATAATGCAAAGAAGCAGTCCATTAATCTCGATGACGTCAAAATCAGCCAAATTCTTGACTACTCTGGACTCATTTATAAGCGTAGAAGTTTTTTAAACAGTTTGGCGAATGTAAAATTCCCACAGCGGCGACTAATGAGGTCATTTGGAGATACTCTTATCGAAGCCAGGGAATTAAGTTCAGCATCGTCTTTGGCAGGGGTCTGCCAAAAGCAAGAATAGTTAGTCTCTGCAGATTTTAAATTCGACTGTTCCAACTTCAGTCAACATTAGGATCATAATTTCCATTCTTTTTTTAGCTCACTTCTCTGATCGAGGCCTTAGGCAAACTAAAGCAGGGCGTCTATTGGACAGGAGCAAGGCTGATGCGAAGGCCTTCGAGTAGATTAAGCCAGTGGCTAAATCTACCTCAGGTGGACCTGGCATGGACAGATGGCAGCCGCGGATCACTAGACGTTCTTGGATTGTCCACCGAAGATTTGGCCCGACTCGAACCGAACAGGGAGTACTGTTTGGCGCTGGATCTTTGGCTGGGTCGCTGGCAAGCGCGTAACTGCAGCGACCAGCTGGCCTACGCATGCAACCTCCGCCCGATTCCTAAAACGACCACTGAATCCAAGCCACAGAAAGAAAGCGGTAAGTTAAGCGCCAATTTTTTTATTCTTGAACCGATGACAGTACTAAGATTATCTTAAAAGTGCCCAGATTCTGGATATTTGAAACAAAATACTTGATCCCCTACTTATCAGCAATGACACATCTGTGATCAACTTAGGTGCAGTTGAAGTAAAAACACCAATTTCTCTAAAGTTTTGAAAGTCTTGAATTATAATGTTTGTCCCTGTTAGAGAATCTCTTAGAATTAATTCAGAGAAGGTTGCCTACTTACGCTCTGATATTTGAGACCCTCTGATGCTTAATCCTCAAAGGTATACTTATTACTCCTTATTGCCTTGCTCCTAGCAACACAACTGCAGTCTGATTGGACAACCCACTGCCTCATTAAAAAACTGATTAAAAGTTTTTCAAAACCGTCAATCAGTGCGACAATGAGTTCTAAAGAATAGAATTTCACTGGGTCACAATTTGAAAGGGATTTGTAAATTGTGCGAAAGAAGAAAGAGATTTTCAAACTCTTATAAAAGCCCAATGCTACCATACACAAGCTTGTAAAGCTCATTTGTTTTAACGTATTCAGTGAGTTCAGGTTGCAAACCAAACTTTATTATTTTGATTCTCCAGCTCTAGGCAGACGAAATATCTGTAGAAGGAAGAGCAGCAAGGAGACGTTAGTTATAAGTAGTTTAAAATCAACTTCCATAAAAAAAATCGTCTAGCTTACTAGCCCCTTTATTCTGAAACAGTATCTGTTAAAACAGGAAGAGATTGTTTTTAAATTTTAGCTTGAAGAAGTATCTCTGATTAAAATGTTCATATAGACATATAGATCACAAAATCTCAACGAAACGAAACTAAAAATGAGCCCGTGTGAAATAAGATCAGCAGAGAATTGTGTTCATGAGGTTATATCCGAGGGAGCTGGTTCGTTGAATATTGATAAAAACTCATTATCGTTTTACGTGCCTATAGTGTTACACCACCGCGACCGGGTAGGTGCAACGGGCAAATTATGACAGTCTTTCATAACAATCAGTAATAGGTCATTCTTAGACAGCGAAGGAATACTTGGGACTACCAAGGCACAAGTTCAGATTTCTATTACATTTGTTCGCTGGCGTACTGAAAGCTACCATTCATGTAACAAAACTATTAACTGGAAAACCATAGCTTTGGGGTGGCATTCTGGAGATCAAGGGCTATATAATATTAAAATATTATAGTATGCAAAGGAAAACTGCCGAACGCAAATGCTCGGCGTTAATGGTGAACAACAAACTTAGTTTTCATTGTAATCCAATCCAACTACTCACATTTGTGTACGAATTAGCCGTTTATTCCAAGGTCAACTTTGCGTCTCGCCTGTTGTTGCTGATGCCTCCGACTGTTCGACACAGTATTTGTCCAAGGTCTGCTATCAGCAAATGCCAGTTAATAAAAATCCGTATCAGAGTGCCAGTAGGGTTTCCTCTCAGGTCCTTCGAAGGCATTATGTGATTAGTAATAAGTTGGATTTCCATCCAGGGGTAGGCATACATTCGGATTTGAACGGCGAGAGAGCCTGACTAGGAAGATTCCGGTGGTAGCGTACACGAGTGCAAAGTGCAGAAGTTCAGTTTTTCAATTTCTCCCTTAGGAGTATAGCTGCCTGTGGGCACTGGTCAATATTTAGCGCTTCGCTATTATCCCTACGTATTGCATTATGTAGACGTACAGTTTGCTAGTTCGCATTCCAAGATTGAGAATTCAATTCTGAACAAATTTTGCTGTTTACTCAGTACCAAGATGAATGCAGTAAAAACATCTGACATGGACTGAGGCTGTGTTTGGATAAGACGACAAGTAGTTTTAAATATCACACCAAAATGGCACATTTAAGTGAAGGGAAGAAATAACATTCTCGAGAATTTGACGTGATTATTGCCCCAGATATTCGCTTAGACTGATTCATCAATTACAGAATTTCTGTATTTTCAGATGAATGGAGAGATACTGATGAGAGCCTTCCTGGACACCATTCTCATCCAACCCAAGAGGCAACTGCGGGTTCTACAACTCCGTCTGCCTCTTCAACACCTGTCGCCGAAACCGCAACTACACAACCAACTCCGAGCGAAACTGACATTGTTCAACCATCGTCAGAAGCATCAAGCGAAGGAACCGAAGAACCGAAGCCAATTGCAGGTTCCACAACTCCGTCTGCCTCTTCAACACCTGTCGCCGAAACCGCAACTACACAACCAACTCCGAGCGAAACTGACACTGTTCAACCATCGTCAGAGGCATCAAGCGAAGGAACCGAAGAACCGAAGCCAATTACAATTTCCACAACTCCGTCTGTCTCTTCAACACCTTTCGCCGAAACCGCAACTACACAACCAACTCCGAGCGAAACTGACACTGTTCAACCATCGTCAGAGGCATCAAGCGAAGGAACCGAAGAACCGAAGCCAATTGCAGTTTCCACAACTGCGTCTGTCTCTTCAACACCTGTCGTTGAAACCGCAACTACGCAAACAACTCCGGTGGACACGGACACAGTTCAATCAACAACAACCGGATCAACCGAAGTAACCGGATCGACGGACAGTTCGACGCCCCTCTCAACCATACAGAGTAGTACCGAAGGCTTTGAGTCACCATTCACAGCATCTACGGCCCCAGTCACCGAAACTACACCAGAAAAAACGATTTCCTCAACCCCGTCAGAAGAGGAAACAGGCCTACCAGAAGGTGAAATCGCGCTAAAATCAATCAATGCACAGCCTATTGCAGAGGCATTTACACCTTCAGAAAGTGACTTCGACGCAATTCGACAAATGACGACTGGCAGTGAGACGGTGAGCACAAGCACTGAAATGACTACCTCGACTGCTACAGACACTAGCACAGTGACACCCCTTGACGGTTCTGTCTCCACTGAGCCTTCGCAAACATCAACACTGTCAGTTACCGGTGCTGCAGGTATTCCTGCAACTACCCCTGCCGCCACCATCCTAGATTCGTCTACTGTTGCCACGGCAGAAACCGTACCCCTCAGTCCAGCCAGATTTTCTGCTACTTCCATGCCTATGGAGCCTTCGGAGGCATCAAAACTGTCAGTCACCGGTGCTGCAGGTAGTCCGGCAACAACCCCTGCCGCCACCATCTTAGATTCGTCTACTGTTGCGACGGCAGAAACTGTACCCCTCAGTCCAGCCAG